GGCGCTCCCGCCGAGGGTTCGGATCCCACATGCAGACCAGCTGCTCACTGGCTGAGCGAGGAGCGGGGGCGACACCGAGGGTTGCGATCCCATAGCCGGTCCCGGTCCGGTCCGGGTGCGACACTGAGGGTTGCGATCCGTTGCCGGTCACGAAAAAAGACAAAAAGACAAAAAAAAAAAAGAGGATACTGTTTTAATTAAAGCACTAACTCTTAAAAGAAATATCATGTGTTCACCCTAGTGCCACTATTAGGGTCCATCCCAGAGCACCATTTAGGGGAAATTGTTATGTGAGGCAACTAAACTTTAAAAAATATCGCCCAGTGTTATAATCACACTCTAGCGCATTTCATGTAAAAAATTTGAAGTAGTTGAGACCCAAGATGCCCTTGAATAAATCATGCAACTAGGAAGAAAAGAGTTACTGCCCTCTGTCATCTCGATTTGTTGCACTTTAGTAACCAGGACCTTACTTTGCCTAAGTCTTTTGGCGCAGCAAACTAATGCACCAGCAGTCATTGCTGCAGTCACTCTGATAGTTACGGTTGTGTAAATCTGACCTGTATCGACGGAGTTCCCTAGACTTTCATCTATCAACTGAAAAAAACAACTGAATTTGGCAATTGTTTCTCTAAAAAAACAATTAATGCTTTTCTTACGAAAAAATCTACAGTATTAAAACAGAGATTTTTTTTTTAATGCTCGTGCTGTGCACCTTTAACCCTCCCCCAAAGTGTTATTTGCTTCAGATGTGAATTGTTTACAGTAAACATGTTAACTTATTACATGTTGTAATGTGTGTTCCTTGATGTATTTCTATAAAGTAGAGGTTCCACTTTAACTCCTGGATGGTTACTCCACATGACTCTTTTCTTCTTCCCCTCTAGACTTCTCCAGAGAACCCTGGGACAGTAGGTGGAGTGCAAAGCTGTATTGTGTTGCCTTCCTGCTTTTTTTTTTTTTTTTTTTCCTTCCTTTTTTTTTTTTTTTTTTTTTTTTTTAATTCTTGGCCTGGCCCCCGCCTTGGCTGCTCCTTTCTTTGCCAGTAAAGCTAACTAACTAAACCCTGCATGTGTGGTCATTATGAAGGGCTCATGGCTTTTCATTTCAATCCTGCACATGTATCATGTCAGTTGTTACATGACAAATCCTTAATATCAGGATTGTCCCTAAAGCAATACTGTGATAGGCAAACTAGAATCTAACCTCTACTTTCTGAAAAATTTCCCTCCATTTTAAAGCACCTTCTTTCTAATGCCCCTGCCCCCTACCCTAAGTACCTTCCAGTGCTCCAAAACTACCCAGAGTCCTTTTTGTGAAGGGAGAGGATAATCTGATAAACATGGAAGTGAGGTGTTAACACGGTAATGTGTTACCCCGCCCTGTACTATTTATATCCTGAAAAGGGCAGGAAGAGGGCAATGTTTAACAGAGAATAATGACTCACTCACTAATGGTGGAATTCCCTGCTTCAGTGACCGACATTTCATGCATATTGAGAAGACATCCACATTTTGTGTGGGTGTACGTTTAAGATTTTGAACAGGTTCTGATCATTTCAAAAAATTTTTGTCCTAAAGTGATGTCACCTTGGTTTGGTTCCTTTTCTTACGTAGTAATTTCTGTTATGGATTTTGATGTTTAGTGTCCATGTGATGTCAAGAAGTCTGACTGCATGATTGTTTATCATTGCTCTGATCCTTTCCAACTACCAGAGGAAGAGAGGGGAAGGGATGTTTTAGAGATTATGCTGAAATAATAAGTTAGCTGTTCTCTTCCCTCTCTCCTCTCCATACAATAGAAGAAGCAGGCCAGTCCACCACAGACCAGGGCATGGTCATGGATTTTGTGGAAACAGGAGATACAACGCCTCCCACCAAAAGGAAGAGCAAGTTCTCAGGCTTTGGCAAGATCTTCAAGCCCTGGAAATGGAGGAAAAAAAAAAGTAGCGATAAATTCAAAGAGACTTCAGAAGGTGAGATATTAAGATTTAAATATGTGTTCTGAGTTAAAGATTCCCCTATTTTAGAAGTATCTTACTTTTCATTCTCTTCCCAAGTTTCTGTAACCCGCTATTTGAAGACAGAGTTTAATCCTTTAGAATTATCAACCAGGTGGTCATTCACTAAACCTTATATTCTATAGCCTCATTCCCAGGTTTGTATTTTGATAGGATTAAAGTATCTATCGAGTGGTAGAAGAGTCCCTAAACAGTAGCAAATCTAAGATGCTTTTTTTTTTTCCTACTCTGCCCACTTCCCATTCACACAAAATTCATCCATGGGGCTGGTGGATTAAATGCTCAGTTGGTTAGAGTGCCACCTTGTAACACCAAGGTCAAGGATTTGGTTCCCCTTGCTGGCCAGCACCCAGAAAAAAAAAAAAAAAAATTAACCCATAAATACCTTATTACTGAAATTTCAATTAAGCTACCATTATGTAAGACAGTTCCTATTAGAAATGATACTTTCCCAATAATGCAGGATATGAAAGAAATTAAGTTTTTTAATTTGAAGTTAGTCTCCCTGTTCTTTTCTTTCCCAAGAATAGAAATTTGAACCACTTTATTCTTTTATCTATTGAGTTAGAGTGCTGTAATGTTGACCGTCACCTGCCTTTTTTCTGAGTGCTATTTTCCAATTTAATGTTAGTTTTAGAGCGAAAAATATCTATGCGAAAACCAAGGGAAGAGCTGGTTAAACGAGGGGTTCTATTGGAAGACCCTGAGCAAGGTAAGTTTAAAAATGAATAGAATATGCCTGTCTCTGTATACTTAGTCTTTGACTGAGTCAAAGGTATATGCATACTTGCTTAGGTATTTGAGTTTTCTTTTTTTTGTTATTGCTGTTGTTGGGGTAGAGCAGGGGCTTTAAAAAGAAAGTTCACCCTTTCTGCCAAATGTCTGGCTGTGGTCTTTAACTCTGAAATTGAATGGTTGGTGAAGGATCCTTGGGGCAAACATTCCTTGTCTGTCTCAGCTTTGTGCCAGCTGCAGATCTTTGTGTCATATTCATTTTCTGACCAAATTCATCTCCATGCCTTTATTAGTGCCTAATCAACAGTCGTTGCTGGTTTAATAATGTCAGGACTTTCTCCAATGTGTGACTTTTATGAAGCAGTTTATCATAAATGTTAAACTATAGAACACTGGTTGCATTTCATTTCTCTTCATTTGAGTTACTTTGTGTGAGACAAAATCTGAAAGCCAAGTTTTAAAAATATATCGTATCTTTTGGAAGATGGGGAAAAGAACCAAATAGATAGAGTATTATACTTTTTGGGTTTTAAACCATGTGAATATACTGCCTATTCACTAAATTAAATTATATTGAAAATTTATTGTTTCATCTATATAAAAAGTAACCAGAGGTGCTGGCCAGTTTGCTCACTTGAGAAAGCATGGTACTGATACCACCAGTGTCAAGGGTTTGGATCCCTGTACTGGCAAGCTGCCACAAAAAAAAAAAAAAAAAAACACTAGAGAAAACAAGTTTGAAGGGACAATATGAAAATGTTATTATCATTGGTTACCTCTGGAGGTTGGGATGGGATTATGGGTGATTATGGGTGATTTTTTTTTTTTTT